CAGTCCTACATGTATAAATAAAATAAACAACAAAAAAACAGACACATAAAAATTATGTGATTTAGAGTTTTCCAGACACCAACAGAATAATGCTACAAAATATTATTGTTCATGTCATAAAAGATATTGCACATCATGGTTAATGTGAGCAAATAAAGGGTTTTATTTATCTCACCATTGTCACTTAGATCTTGATCACGACATTTTGACTGTGTAAATTTTGCAGGTCTTTGACACTATCAACTAATGAAGACCTGCAGTATGCGGTCGAAAATATGTTAAACAAACAGTTGTGCCTGGATATAGATTAATAATTATTTAATGAGATAAAATGAATAAGTAACAGACAATGTTATACCTTCCCCTTCCTTTTCAGCTGCATTCATACGGTGTTTTTTGGCACTGACTGGGTCATTTATGCCACTGAATATTTCACTGTCAGAATGCACTTTTACTTCTTCTTCAGCTGTTGTTGGTGGATCCCATCCTTCAGTTGAAAACAAGATAAGGTTGCCAATATTCTTTCTCACTGGGATTGAGAATTCTTCAGTTGCAAGCTTAGAGGATACCATTACATCCCCAAGCTTGGTGTCTTGGGGGTTTAAACCCCTGCAGTGTCCAACAGTAATAACAGCCTTGGGTCTCAACTGAGCAACTGCATTCTTGACAGTGACTAAAGAACCACCTGGACCTGAAGAACCTTTATAACATCTCATCAGAGCAACTTTGAGTGCCTCCTCTCCACTTTCACCAATGGTACCAAAGTACACATATCCAAGGTTATTGTGGTAGCTTTTAATGGTATTATTTAAGTATGCATAGCACGCCAAGAACTCGCAATCCTCCACTGTCAACAGAATAATGTCAATTGGAAGCTGAACATCACTCCAAGGTTTTGACTTTTTTGAAAGATTTTTCATTTTAGGTACTTCAATACTAAGAGGAGGAGGGGCATAATTTCTGCCTGTCTGACAAGAAGGACTTTCCTTTCTTTTACGTTCTTGATGCTGCGCCATTGAGCCTTAAATGTGTCCCTAGAAGTGGGTAAATTTAAAAGAAGAACACAAACATCATTTTCCTTAAGCTGTTTGAATATGGGAGGAAGGAACTAATAGAATAATTATTTTTAAGTCTCATTAGCCTGCGTAGCTGACGGTATTGTGTGGGTGCAAGATTAAAGTTTTGGCGGCAGAGCCATGTTCCAAAGGCAGTAGGGACGAGGCGGTTGAAATACTGCCTGCCAGAAAACCCCGTTATTTTGACTAGTCAGCTTCATTATTTTTTAATGTTAAGCCTAGTGTGGCAAAAAAAGATTTACTCAGTCAAGGTTTAGAATGATCTTATACATGCACTGTGTAGTGCTAGTAACCTTTGCGCGAGAGCCGAGAAAATAAAAAAACCTCTGTTCAAGCAAAACTCACAAGGTCACGTTTCACATTATCACGAGCTTAGAAGTCATGTTTAGCCTGTCAATGCTTATTTTTAAACTGTGTCGCGCGAAAACAATCGGAAGTTTCAAATTGCAGGTTTCTCTTTGATTGGCTGATTTAATTGGGATCAGCTAAGGTGACAAAAGGGGGCAGCATTCGAAAAATCATGGTTCTCTGGCAGGCCGTATTTCTTGCAGCTTCGCCGCTCGTGACGGCTCCGCCGTCAAATCTCACTCGACTATATTACAACAGTTCCACCACCAAATCTCACTCGACTACTACACAATACCACCAGCTACACAGGCTAAAGTCTCATGCAAGGGCAACAAAGATCAGTTTTCTCCTAACAATATCCATGCATCATCAAGAGAAAAGGTTGTAAGAATTAATTAAAAAATCACCAAAAGAGGAAATAAAAATCCTCTCAACTTTTTCTTTTAGTAAAAATATGAAAGTCATTTTAGAGAATTTGTATGCGGATGGATATACAAAGTCATGCAGTTCGGTAATAAACTTGGACTCAAACAACTTGAATTAGCAAGAGTTTTTGCCTAGTCCCTAGGCCTCTTTGTTACACACGGCCAGAGTGTTTCAGGTCACATGGTCTAAGTAAAAATGATTCTCGCCTGTTCACCTTGCATACGTCACTGAAGTGAATTGACCGAGAGGGATTGGGAAAACGCTGTTTAGGGACTAGGCAACAAGGGTTTAAGTTATCGGGATTGATTGCAAAATTCAACTTTTAGTCTTAAAAATTGATAGTTACTGATTTTTCAGCACTTCTTGCAGTGTAGAGTGCCACTGCAGTGCAAGTTTAACTTTTTTATCCGAGACAGTAACAGGATTAAGCACTTTTTATGATAACATACATGATCTGTTTGTTGCACTAATTAAAATCAAATATTGCTGTTAGGTGTTAACCAGTGTTATATAGTTTTCTTTAAGTGATTATACAACAAGAAAAACAAATGGAATGGCATCCAAGTAGAGTTACAAGAACTAGAATTTGAGTTATGGAGGTAAGTGTCAGTGACTTTTAGGTCAACGAAAAGGAAATTTAGATGAGGTTAAATAAATATTTATTTAACAGAGTTAACAACAAGGAGCGCGAGCGTGGTCAGCGGTCAGTCGTTTGACTCAAGCGCGGTCAGCCTTGCTTGCATCACCTCTATGTCCTCAGTACAGTGTTTTCATGGCAGCCACTCTCTTCGTTTAGCCTTTGGATCATTCTTTTACCCCTATCCCTCCCCCCCTTAATTCTTCCACTGTTAATCAGTGTGATGGGTGCCTGGTTCCATTGGCGTGGGGGCTCATGGCTGGAGGGCGCGGGTTTGCCAGCCATGGGGGCGTAACTCTGTCTAGGGGCTGGCCGTACCATAGGTGGAAGCCCCTGGACATCCCGGGCACCCACCTCCACTCAGCGACGCAGTTGTTAATTTGAGTTAGCGGGGAATTCCAGTTATCCGGGTTCGAGTTATTAAAGAGTAAAAATGACTGAAAATTAAGTGGGTTTATTAAAATCCAAGGGAAATTGGACTTAGTTTGAGTTAGCGGGGAGTTCAAGTTATCAAAGTTATCAGGGTTCCATTTTATTCATTACAATTTCTTGTAACTAGACAACCATTACAAAATTTATCTGAATTACCTGGACTTTCAAAGGTTTCAGACTTCACTGATACTTGATCATAATGATCTATTGATTGACTGACATAAAAGTCTGAAATAATAAAGTAAACAAGAGCATGTCAACCTACATGAACATTATGCCGAGCTATCCTTTCTAGACTTTCTACTAAGTACTAACTGTTTTAATTTTATTGAATAATATCACACTGAAGGAGGTACATTCAAGTCATGAGACTTGAATACACTTGGCATCAGCCATTACAAAGAAGAGGGACATTAACACTGGTTGTATGCTGTGCTACCAGTGTTGTTACCAGGATTTTGTACACTGGGGTCCACAGGACACATAGAGAAGCTAAAGGGGGGTCATGAGGGAGAAAAGCAGGTCACAATTTTTAGATACAGTTAACTCAATATTTTCACAGGTGTGAGTCTTAGATAATGATGGGTGTTTTCTAAAGACGGCATAACCATGCAATTAAGTTTTGGCTTATATTATAAGGAAATGTACGCATGTGTACGTATATGCATACGTTATTTTTGTAATGGGTTTTTCCTTCTTTGCACCCTTGGGACCCCTTGGGCTAATTATAGTGTGGCATTTCCTGAAAAAGTGTGGCAATGCCGCAATGCTCCAGTCTGTTATAAGTACACTGTGCTACTGTTTATAAACATGTCAATCAGTTGGTGGAAGCTTTATGACAGAACTTGTCAAGTAGAAATCAACAAACTGATGTGTAGCTGGTACATGATGAGAGTTCACAGGGACGTTGAAAAAATCAGGAATGGACTGGATCGGTCTGTGGAAACCTGGATCAGATTGTTCTAGCTCAGAGATGTATCTACAGGGCAGTACTAAAACACAGAATCCGCATTCCGGAAATGGAAACGGAATCCAGAAACGGAAACGGAATATGAAATCAAATATCAATGATAGAAAATTAAAGAATTTCACATTGCATAATTTAGTACAACCTGAACAGAATTTGTTTTAGTTTTTTTGGCAGTTCCCTTAAATATATTCTTGTTATTGTGTCTTGATAAGGTTTGCTGTGGCGTGGGTTTGCACTGCAAGGCCAATGAAAGTAATTTACTAATTTACTAATTTTTTTTTCATGAGTTTATGGGTTGAATAATACAGTTAAACATTACCTTTTTTGCTAAATGGCAAGAGTATTAGTAGTTGGCCTCAGACCACACTACGTAATTGTCACCAAACTGAATACCGTACTCAACACATTACCGACCTGTGACGTGACCCGGCAGTTCCGGTGTTTTAGTAATAAGTTCAAGTTTTTCGCCAAGCTGAAAGCTGATGGAATACTGGTGTAATTGAGTTTGTGTTGACGTCCATAGTTTTGTTGAAGAGGCTTATAAAACATGGAGCATTATTTTGATGTAATCAGTTGCGAAATCAAGCAAATGCATGCACTGAATTCTCTCTTCTCTTTGGACTTCACAATGCCATGTTTCTCTTGAGTAAGTTACCTAGATAAATAAAACTGAACACTGTTGAAGACAACCCAAAAAAGACACCTAGGAAAAACTTGACGACAACGCCTCTTAGTTACATAAACAACGCCTCTGTCGATTTAAATGAAGTCTGTCTCCATGTAACTTACCTCTTTCTAAAGAAACTAGTTATTGCCAGTGATGTTTTTCTCCTCGCTTTGCTGTCCCATGAGAATTTGCATTCATTGCCGGAAGTGGTATGAAAAGTCTTTTTATCGGAATCGACTCCTCTAGTCATACAGCAGTCTCCTCTGCCGAGGTAATTAATTCATTTATGTCTTTATTTTATCTGTTTATTTATTTTTTTGTCATTGCTAATTTTTTTTTCAAATCGATCGCTTGGAACCTTTCATGGATTCCGTTTCCGTTTCCGTTTCGGTTTCCGTGATTCCGTTTCCCGATTCTGCATTCCGGATTCCGTGTTTTAGTGCTGCCAGTATGTACACCCACACATTAATAGCAGAGGTCAACAGGAAGACTAACTTACTTTCATGGGCCAGTATGAACACAGCATATTATAATCTTGTGTCATCACAAGGTGTCATCTTTAGTCTCAAATGGGAGCTGGTGTAAAAAACTGATAAAATATCATGGACTTAAAGTCTTTTCACATAAACAGCAGGTGCTAAATAAATTAAAAATACTTGTGGTATTGTCATGTCCTCTGTACAGTATAGCATATGCTGTCTTCGAAAAGCACAAAAAAAATCAAAATGGCCTTTGTGAGCATTTGCCAGCACATGCATGAGCACTTCATATTTTTTGCTGCTTAAGCACAAGCTGAATCAGTGGAGCTAAAACTTGAATTGCAAGCAGTAATAAGCACTTTATAATCCTTTTTTTTCAAATCTTAAATGCCTAAAAGCAACAATATGATTATTTTATTATTATATTTGTAAAAAAATTAACTTCTGCTAGACCGGACATCTCTGATGTTGATTCTGGTCACAATGATAAATCCTTTCATTGAATTCAATTTTTCACACATTACAATGATGGAGATGGTGGCCAGCTGGTTTGCATAAACCAGTAACAAATAAACTCAAGCTTGGCTTGATATGACATATATAGGACCTGTTTACATGGATCGGAGGTCTAGAGAACACCAGGTAGGGGAGGTAACGTGCTTTAAATAGGTGGGGTAACATGCCTCTCCATATTTTAAACTGATCACGTTTACATGATAGGTGGGGTGACCCACCACATGTTACCTCACCTATGTGGGGTCCCCCACCTCCACGTAAACAGGCCTTTATGCATGTTCAAACTTAACACATGACAATAAATATTGAATTGTGTTTATTCTGTATAGGTAATACATGATGCTTTATATTAGTAAAAGAAAGAATGCTCCTAGCGTATATATTTAAAAATCATTTGATTTTACCAAAGTAAAGTAAACT